AAATCGGTTCACAACACGCCTGAAATCTCGATTATCAATTTATCATGCGAGAGTATAAAATGTTCGGTCACGCCCGAACTTAACTCTTCCTTACTTGTTTAATTACAAATTCATCATGGAATAACATACGCATCAGTCTTTGGAGCYTCCAAGTGTAGCTAGGAGTTTTTTCATTAATTCGGACGATATGACCAGGTTAGCTATGTCAATATCGTCGTATGTATATATGCTCACTGAACCATCGATTGCGGTATTTGCCGTTGTAAATGCGCAAAGAGCCACAAATTTTCCGCAGAACTTTTCTTTAGATAATTAAAAATTTTTTTATGAAGATAATCGTTTTCCCGTTGCAACATTTTCTGYGCTTTTAGCATTTTATGGTCATAATAATCGTCCTGTTGAAATTTTCGAGCGTACATTTTCTTTACATAATGTTCAAGTGCCAATAAGMCAAGAACTGCTCGAAGTAATGAAAATATTGCTGCCATTCATTAAATTTTTCTTAAAGATTCTGAGAAAGGATTTGGGCTTGCGTCCATATTAAACTGTTCTCACTCAAGCACTGAAGCCATTGGACTACTCTAGCAGTCATGCATTTGCTGATTTTCTATTGAAGGAACTTCATAACGATAACGACTTTTTTTTAAGAAAATCATCTTCTCCAATGAAGCGCACTTTCATCTGAATGGTGCAGTAAATAAACAAAACTGTCGATGCAGGTGCGAAAAAACTTCTCAAGTTATTCATGAACAAGCATTAGATTCGCCAAAATTGACAAATCGGTGCGGTGTTTATTCTGGTGGAAACATCCTTTTGTGCTTCTTTAAAAGTGAAGCTGCTGACACCGCAACAGTCAGCACATAACGATATGGATTACTGATAACCAACATTTTACGTTCGCAGTTGAAAGAAATTGATCTTGGCCACATCTGGATAGTTTGTTGACTCGATTATTTCAAGAAATTATGACATTGAATGGTCTACTTGAGTTTATGGTTAAACACTGTTAGACTACTTCTAGTGGGGTTATTTAAATCATTGGTAATAAATCAGATTGTTTTGAAGTTTTAGAAATCAATACTGAACTTGCTACTCACGACATACGACTTGATTTAGTGAAAAAAGTATTTGGGAATTGGGTAAATCGAATTTCTGCTTGCAAAAGAAGTCGTGGAGGCCATTTGACTGATGTTACATTCAGAACTTAATCGAATCTGAATAGACTTGAGTTGAACTAATTGCCAATTAATACTATTTTCGCTTTTTAGGACACCAATATCGAAATTAACAAGGAAAGCTTAGTCGTGATATTTGCTTGAAGATAAAAAGTTCAAATTTTACCACCGAGATGGCATAAGAGAGCCCGGTGTGAAAATTGGACTATGGGCGTGGCACCGACCACTTTTTAGTGAAATCCYATATCTTGGAACCCGACCAACCGATCACGACAAAATTTTAAACATGGCATTCTTTTCACATTTTTATATTATTTTGTGAATACACGAATGAAGAAGCAATTRACATAACGGAAYAAAACTTTGCASGAATAATGTTTTTAGTGTGCTTTATCTTATGATGAAAAATTGTTTAAATCCAATAAAAACCCTTATAGATAGTGCCGAAATTTAGAGCAGAAACTAAAAGCCGAATTTTTATATGGGTCCAACTTGCTTCAGAATTTACATCACATTTTCATTGCAAAAGACACCAATGTAAACCATAATTGATATACCCTTCTTCAGCTTGTTTCAAAGCGAACACCTCAAGTTCCTTATATAACTCGCATAGCTGGAATCTAGACTTGTGGAAAGCCTTATTTCTAAGAATTTTGTTTTGTCCAGTTGCTAAATAACAGTATTTTGCATTTACCGGCAAACCAATTTTGAAATTGACGAGCGAATTTGGTTCATGAAATTAAGTTAGTCCGAGGTTTAAAAATAGAGCCATATTCATAGGTAGGTAATTCTGATCCATATTAATTTTCAGCTCTTTTGTTATTGCTATTAGTGGCGTTTAAGTTTGAAACTCGCTTAGCATTTAATAAAAATTAAAATAAAGCTATTTGGGCAGCGGCCGCGCACGTCGGCAAAGTAGTTTAGAAACTTTATAGAAAAAGAGGAAAAAGCGTAAAAAGTGTGCGAAATGCGTTAAGTGCAAAACAGCAAAGCGCTTAACAGTCGCTGGGCTATGAAAACGTCCTCGTCGAACAACAAAGGCAGGAAAGGCAGAGCATGCACAGGCGTGCRCGTGAGAAAGTGCTTTGTAAAATTTTAATATTTGCTTATAAAATGAGAAAAGTTTTGCTGTAGTAATGAAAATGCAAAGGCGAATTTCGCTGTTTAACGCTTTGGCAACTCGTTGCATTTCAATGCGTACAAGTGAATATTCAAATTAAATAAAAATAAAAAATGGAAAAAAATAAATTAAAATTAAAAAGAGAAAAAAAAAAAATTATTTATTTAAAGGAAAAATAAATATACAAAATTTTATAGAAACTTAAAAAGTTGAGGAAAGTAAACTTGCTAGCAAGCAATATATGTGAATATTTTTATAGAGGAGTCTCTATATATTTATTTGTTCATATCCTTCCTTTTATTTATATATATGTGTAGTTGTGTGTGCTTGCTTGTTTTGTAACAAAGTTCTCAGCCACTAATGACTGCACTCTGGCATGAAGTAAATTTCCACGAAAGTAGTTTTAGTKTTAGTTGAAATTATTTACATATTTATAAACCGTCAAGTAGTTTGTAGTTTGCCCTGTGCATGTGGCATGAAAAGTTTGTAAAAAAAAAATATTTAATTAAAAGTGAGTACACATTAGTGCACAAATTGCAGGCTTCGACACACAATCACAAAACAAAAAAAAAAAAAATATATATATTTATATATATTAAACAAGAACGATCCAAAACACTTAATTATGGTATTTTCCCACACAACCTAATAAATGCTTACACGTGCACCTATGCAYATTYAAATTAGCGTATATGTCAATAAAGTTATAAATATCATAAGAAGAAACCATTAATAATCCTCACCTTTGTTTATCCATTCTTTTTTCTCTTTTTCTCTCTCTTTTTCTCTCTTGTTCGCGCTTTTGTGCTCTTCTGTAAAATCCCACGCACTTTGCTACACATCTTTGCACTTCTCACACCTATCTCACTTGCCATTTTCATGCTCTTTTTGCATTTTTATTTTCTTTTTCACTTTTATCTCTCATTTGCGTTTGCATTGTATTTGTTTGCTCMAAAAAAAAAAAAAAAAATCCGTAAAATGTACTCTTCGCCCCCTTTATCTTCGCTTTTCCTTCTGTTCGCAATTTTTTTGTTTATGCTGCAAAGTTTTTGCCCTTACAGCTGCTTTGCTGGGCGCGCGTTTTCGTGCCGGTTCCAATGCTGGCATRTTGGGCTTGGGCGGCCTGCCAGGTCTGGGCGGTCCGCCGACGTCGGAGTCGGATGCTGACGGCATGGAGGGCAATAATCTGGATGTACCTGCTGGCTGTAACATGGGACGGCGACGTAGTCGCGCGGTGCTCTATCAACTATCCGGCCACTACAAGCCGGAGAAGGTGAAGACGAAATTGAAATTAGGAAATGTGAGTAGACAAATATATATAATACATTACTTACTAATTAAATAATTWAAAAATTATTRAGTAAATAGAAATAAAAGGAAGCACTACTACTTATTACGTTATACGCACGTTTATTCTTAAACAAGTTTTCTAAACTCCAAATCTTTGTCTTCATTCGCGTATGTCRCAAGATAAATAATTGTTGTTGTATCGTTGCAGGCATGGTGTCATAAAATATCGTTCCAAATTTTGGTTTTGAATGTTTCCACGTAGGTTATCTAACGTATAAATACGATTACGTAGAACTGATTGTCATAGGTACGAAAATAAGAAGAAAAAATCAGTTTCGATGACAGAAAAATATATTTAAATGCTATTTTAACAATAAATAGACAATTGAAAGCTACGTGATGTAGAAAAGTCAGTCTCAGCTTTGTAACAACTCAACCAACGCAATCATTCCGGAAAGCAATATAGCAGACAGCCGAGTGYACATTGTGTGAAATATAATTAAAAGATAGGCCTTTGTTTTAACATGAGCTATAGTAAAAAGTACTTGAATCCTAATTTTGCTTCAGAATTGTAAGCAGGCTTAAAACTTAGAGTTGGAATAAAAAGCTTTATGCCTTAGTTAACCGCGAGTTTGGCTGTTTAAACACATGCTAGATAACCCTTGGAACAAGAAATATATCTTCATCTATATCTATACAGTACATAATATCTTCTTCTTCTATATTGACATAGACAATCCTTTCTTTTCGTTGCTTGGTGTCAATAGGAAATGCCTAGTTTTTTCAACTKAGTGGATGTATTTCCCTTCCTCTGCTCTCCCCAGCGAGTACTGCGTGGAATAACCTCAGAGCTGGAGTGTTTTAATTTATGACATGACATAGCCAGCATAGCCGTGTCGCGGTTATTAATACGTTCCTTGTGCTCTCAGGTGGCAAMCAAGTTAAGACTTATACAACAACTCCGAGGATTTTGTAAACAACCTGGTTCTTTTTCACAACAGYTACCCAATGTCTCTTAAGTTGGAGTATTCTCATCCAGCTGAAGGCATGGCATTCACACAGTTAGTGCTCTGGTGTCCACATTTTACTATTTACCATTTTCTTAAAGTGGCATCTTAAGGGTAGATGCCCTTTGATGACCCCTACAATKTTTCTAAGCTCGTCTTTGCATAGAAGTAGCAGCTATTTGGCCTGTCCACCATTTACACTACCCCAAGGTAGTTTTTTGGTATGTTCTGTATTGCTTGTATTAAAAGTTCTGAGGTGGTTTTATAAGACAGATTGCTTCAAAAAGCTGAAATGCTTGACTCGTCTTAGGAAAATTGTTACCTGCTAAAAGTCTAGCTATTATCAGCTTGCATAACGAAAAGAGCCGTAGTATTGGCGCTACGAATGGCCTTAATTGCCGCTTCTCTATTCACTGGAATATTTATCGAATCRCTGGTTGGATCAGAAATCCAACTGACACCTTCTGTTATAGCCAAAAWTTCGGCCTGAAAGACTTTGTTRTAGTCATATAGTTTGCAKCTRYCTCCTGTAACGATGATAGTCAAGCCTTTAATCTCTACATATCACATATGCCCCACACGCTTACACGCTCGTTCATCATTCCGTTTTTGCCTCTTAATTAAATTCGACAGACATGCGAATAAAACTAATGCCATACAACTGCAATCGTGTGTAAGTCGAGTCATATTACATTCATTCGTTAGCGTTAAATCCAATATCTACCTGACAATGCTCGCGACTAATAAACGTGAAAAGGTGTGTGTGCGTAGGCGCATRTGTGTATGTGTGAGAGCCTATTCACATAAACTCACGCAGCATTCTTTTGTGTGCAGTAACAGCCGCCAACACGGTTATACAAATAATTCTCGCATTCAGCTTAAATGTAATTTAATCTCTTTTTTCGCCGCGCACAATACAACAACAAGAATTCTAGGGTAGTAACTGCCATTCAAGCAATTAGTACGATTTTTGAGTTTACCTACGCTTTGTTGTTTGTCTTTTTTTTTTTCTGTCATGCAAATTTTAATATCTTTTCCAAACAGAATTTATTGCATTCAACGGAGGCGCCTTTTCCCGAATACAAAACGCAATCAATAAAAAAGTCACGCTTCATTCTGCCGCATTACGGTGTTTTCAAGGGTTTTTGGGACTGGATTATATTGGTGTCCACCTTCTATGTGGCCGTTTTGGTGCCATACAATGCGGCATTCGCGAAAGCTGATCGTCAAACCATGGTGTCGGATGTTATTGTCGAGGCGCTGTTCATCGCAGGTGAGTGGGTGGTTTGCAAAAAGTTGGTAAAATATGCATGTTCGGAGCGTGAAAGTATTCTACGAATGGTATGAGAAAGGTCATTTCATGGTTCATATAATTTGGTGAGTTTATAAAAATAAAATACATAAGTGGACACCTTTTATCGTCGAATTTTGTGAGAAATATGAATTATTTGTTGATACTCTTAGGATAATAAAGGAGCTCAAAAATTATTTAAGAGTATTGTTAGTAATTAGCAAGCGCTTCAAAATCTCAAAAATAAGACGGCATATATTATATTTACAAAATGTTACGTATACGTCATGTAGTCCCAATTATCAAATGTATACATATTAGGCGTTTAAGTGGTACACAAATTTGATTTAAGACCATTATTAACAATTAATGATTAATAATTAAATAAAATCTTAAAAAATAAGTCGTTAAAGAATGTTACGTATACGCCACGTAGTACCAACTATTAAATGTATGTTTGAGTATTAGGTGTTTAGGTGACTAAACATTTTTTTTTTTAATTAAGTGATAAAAGATTTAAATGCTTTGCAGTAGGCTATAAAAAGTTTAGTTACATATAATTTGTTGAGGTGTTTCAGCCAATTATGATTACCAAAAAAAAGTTTTGTTTTCCATATTTTTCGGAATATTCTCCAAAGACCTTAATTTGATGCAGAAAACTGTTTTAATTTAATGTAAAGGGCTCCCAAAATTTTTAACTTAAATTATYTTGTTTTCTCAACTCTGTTTTCAGAGTCTCTGAGGAAAATTTCTCTAAAACGGCATGAAATTTTTACTGATATAATAAGAGTTTTGTTACTAATTTCGATTTTTTTGTCACTCTGAGGTGCAAATTTTTTCAACAACTTTTTTTTTTGGAAAGCGTCATTTTGTCAATAACTAAAATCATTTATTTTCATAATTATTAATCATACGATTTATTTTTTTTTAGTTTTGAGGTAATTTGAAGTAGAACAATTTTCTTTACCAGTCAAGAAAATCCAAACAATTTCAACATGAATAACTGTCATCATTAAAGTAGCTTAAATTTAGTAAACGCACTAAATTTTTATTCATTTACTAAAATTTTTTTTTTATTAAAGTTCACAAACAAAAAATGCACTTTTTCTGCCTTGTGCATGAAATCCGAAGTCAGGAGCGTGCAATAATAAAAAAAATATATTAAGTCCTCAACAACAACAACAACAACAACAAATTTATTGTGACGTTGAACTCATCTTCATAACAAATAAAACTCGCAATTCCTGTTTAAAGCCGCTTATTGCAATCAGTTAAAATCAAATAAAATCAAATAAATATGCAGGTTACTCATACGRCATGTTGGTCACTATAAATCTACYTGAATGCCACTTTAAACACATATATCCCCATAGAAAAATATAAAAAAAGAAAATATGCAAAATTACCTTCCTAGGTCAAGTAAACGCTGACTACTCGTATTTGTTTTCACCATTTTATTGCAACACTCCAGTCTCGTAGCCGAGTAGTCTGCAGCATTTGATTACATTTACTTAGTCACCGCAGACTGCTGGTTTGTTTGTACATATTTTTATTGAATTTCCATGCCTATTTATTTCTAACGCTTATTTACGACCGYCAGTCAACGGCGGCTTTTGAATATTTTATTATGTGCCAATATTTAAGTACACATTTGATGCTTGTTGTGCTTTCTTTGCAGACATTTTATTGAATTTTCGYACAACGTTCGTCTCGAGCAAAGGTGAAGTTGTCTCCGATTCCAAGCTGATTGCTATTAACTATTTGCGCGGCTGGTTTGTTGTCGATTTGCTGGCGGCGCTGCCGTTCGATCATCTGTATGCGTCGGATCTATAYAATGGCGAGGTGAGTAGTCGGCGTGTAGCAAAATGAAAAATTTAAAGTGAACTTTTTTCACAACAGCGCAGCAACAAGTTGCTTAAGTTACTTGTCGGCTTTGAAAGTTTAAGAATTGTGTGCGATGGACGTGCCTAATTGAGTTGTTGATTAGAATAATCAGAGTTAACTTTTTCATTTATTTGTTGTATGTATTTTGAGCTGTGAGTTGTTTACAGTCTTTTTAAGATGGCTGTCAGAAATTTTCGGTTAAGATAATGATGAGATAATGGATTTTCAAAACTCAGTAAAAAAAAAATTTAAGTAGTGAATGTTTTTGGAGAAGACAAATATGAATACAAATTTCTGTGTCGGGCGAATATGAAGTATAATATCTTGCGAGACAACAGCCATCTAAATTGATAGTGAAATATCTCCGTTATTTTAGTTTAGCATTTGTGTTCTGGGAAATGAAAAATGGAAATGGGAAAATTACGCTTTCAGTTATTTTTTTTGGATCATCGAAGTAAGAGATTACATTAAGAAAACATCTGCTTTAAAAGCAATATTTTATAGAAGCTCTCACTCCTTTTCACAACCTTCATTGTTTCTAATAAACTTAGTTGCTACCACAGTTACATAACCTTTATTTTCCCTAAACTACACCTTACTATTTCCTTCATACATACATATATGGTAAGAAMATAACTTTTCAGTGTTGTAACTACTAGTMAAACTGCACTGGAAACCCACTAACAGAAATCACTGCAGCGGTTTGCTTTCTTCTGTCGCGAGCACCTTCTAATAGGAGTATGCCTTATTCCCTACCCAAGCAATTGTCTTCTATCGAGCTAGATTTCTTGCATAAAATCCACTAACATAYAAACAACCTGCATCCCCATARCMCCAAATGGCATTAAAGCTGTTTTGTAGCTTTTCATTTTCTTTATTTGCTAAGTTTTGCTCGTTCAACAAAAATACGGCTTTTTTCTTTCCGACACTTGATTGAAATTCAGTGCAGTTCGTGCCCACAATCTTGGCATCATGTCGGCAGACGGGTTGGTCCAGCAGATGTGTGCATTCCTGCGTGCATTTGCGTCCGGCAAACAATGCTGATGGGATATTTCTCATTTTTATTGCTGCCATTACAACCGTGATGAGATRCTCAGCTTTCCTGTCTTGCCAAACCAGTTTTTCCTGCTGCATACTTGTTGCCTTTGTTGGCAYGCCAGCGAATCATCAGCATAATCAGCAGTGATTAAATACGATTTAGAGCTTTTAAAGTTCTTGAACTCCTTTAATGCTGTGTACGAGTCATTTGCTGCAATCGTGATGGTGCAACGACAAATAAAGAGTTGCAGTGGCGTAATTGGGGCAAAATAGTACTTGTATRTGGAATACTATTTTGGAAGTTGTTCGTCATAATGGTGAAAGACAAGTTACTCTGTAAGATTTGTAATCACGTAAGGACATCAGAGTTTTGTTGAGCGTAATAGCTAACCACTCGTTGCTGATTTGTGGCAACTGAACAGCTGAGCAGTTTCGTCGGAAGTAATATGAGAGTGGACGTTGCAAAGTTGAAAATTAAATATTCTTCCATACAACTATACAACTTGATTTTGACTGATTGGTACAAAAGGTGTTTTGACGTTATATTGAAACTTCTYTTCCGAGCATATTTCATAAGTTCCATTGGCTTAGCTCTTTGCAACGCCCCTCAATGTAAAGACTCTTGAACTTTTATGCAGAAAAGAAAAAAGAAAAAACATGTACAATTAATAATTAATTTACTTACAGCTTCATAGCCACCGCTAATCTGCTCCCTAAAGTGTCATTAAGCTACACACTGAAAGTACTTTCTAGCAAACGAGAGGCGTCTGACAATTTGCCTCCATTAAGCGTACACTTATAGAGAARACAAAATGAATTATTTAAATCAGAAACTATTCGCGCAACAGAGGATAGCCGACGACACAGCTTGCGCGCCATAAAGTAGGCAATATAAATTTCTTGTTGTGACAACTTAAGCGCTGCACTAACTGCTGCCGTGTTTTTAATGACCGCAGAGTAGTTGCCAGCTTGAAGTAAAATCAAAGGCAARGGAAAAAAGGTAATGAGGGAAAACTCAGAAATACTGCAGGTCATTAATACACATTAGTGTTGCACTTMAAAATACGTAGTTTTTAAAAGCTTTGAAGATAAATAAATAAATTAAAAATATAATGAATTTTTAGTTTAGCGCCCGAGGCTAACAAAATTTATAGTCTTATTATAAAACAATATACGCTTATATTTATGCTTCTCAGCACAGTGCTTGGGTTCAGAACTTCAAAAAAGCCTTTTTCAACTAACCCCATTTTTCCATTCCACTTTCCAATTCTCTTAAAATCTTATATTCCTAGCCACCACCTACTATCTTCYTCTCACTTTGGTCGTCTCTTAGTCCGGCGATTTTTCCTTTTCTATTTGGTCGCTCATTCGTCTTAGCTTACTTTCTGCGGCATCGGCGACAAAATCGCTGGGATTAACTCCTCCACCGTTGCGTATYATAGCATAAACACAGCGTCTGTTTTCTTAGCACAGTTCGTGTTTGCTTGTTCGCCGAGGCGGCGTGTGTCTATYTGCCAACAGAGTAGTGATTCCCCTGCTTGCCTGCAGTAATCGACTTCTTTCTTTTCAGTAAGCTGCTGTACACACTTGATTGAATGGGTGTGCTCTTAAATTGAGTGTTACCCGGTGAGTTGCCGTTGACTTTCTGAGTTGCTTTCGCTTTTTTGTTTTGTTGGTGCGTTCATTATGGGAGCATGCTAATTTGGTTTTGACCTAGGCTGTACTTATGTTGTAGTTGGTTTTTTTTGTAAACTAGTTGTACGAGGAAGCAGTGTAATGAATTCCCTTTCCTCCATCTATCAGAGCTTCGATTTTTTGTAGATCCAATTAGTCTATTTCGGGCACTAATATCGATTAGGTAACTACGGCTCTTAGCTTTCAGTCTAGATAATGATAAAAACTCGTTCTGTTTGAGGCGTAGTATGCAAAAGCATTTTGTGGAGGGCGGATATATGCGTGGATGTATTACAGATGACAGAGAAGTACTTAGCCATAATGGAAGGAAATAATTTCGTTTTTGGAACCACAATGAACCATAAAATATTATTCAGTAAATAACCGATATATTGGGTAGTCAAAAAAGTSTTTTCGTTATTTTGTCAATGGATGTCGTTGCAGTCGTATATCKCCAGCAAAATGTTGCGATTACTTTTCATCAACCTCTATTTATTCTATCATCCGATTTCGTACATGTATCCATGAAGAAACAAAAAATATCGCATGCGAAATCATTGACAGCGTAACTTTTCACGTTCCTTTTSAGTTCGCAGCAAAGTTCGAAATTCTTTCCATTGCCCATTTTTTCATTGAAAGCAGATTGCCTTCAAGCGTGCTTTACGCGCCAGCACCTTCAACACACAATCACCACAACCTGCATACAATAACCACACAATTTTTTGCGYTGATAATTTCTTCTTTTTTCTGGTTTCCTTTTCTTCCCACAGGAGTCGCACATTCATTTGGTGAAATTGACACGCCTGTTGCGCCTGGCACGGCTACTGCAAAAAATGGATCGATACTCACAGTACACCGCCATGATACTGACACTGCTGATGTTGTGCTTCTCGCTGGTGGCGCATTGGTTGGCCTGCATCTGGTATGTCATTGCCGAAAAGGAGTACATGATGAATGATAGCGGCTGGGATATAGGTGAGTACCCATACCGCATACAACCAYATACATCTACRTATATATATGTATATATGAGGGTGTGCGTGCCCGCATGTGCCTCACTTACGGTAAATGAATACGCCTTGCCGCAATGTGTTTAATTTCATGCATTTTGCCTTCGCACGAAAATTACTCATACGCACCGTATGGCCGCGTAGCAAGTTGGTGCGCCACAGCCTGTCCTTTCATGTAAATACCGTGTAKCGCGTGCAAATGTGTGTGGTGAGCAGTGTATACATGAGCTGCGATTAAATCCACATACAAGCTCGGCAACTTATTTGCAACAATTTGTAGAGTATATTGGGTGCTTTTGTGATAATTTCGGTTAGTTTGTTGCAAAAACAGCATTTTCATTAGCGAATTCCCAGATATTTCCATTTTTCTTTTTTTCGATTTTTTCGGAGAATATTCGCGGCTTAACACTAGGAAAGTATCACGTTGACACCAAACTTATTTGGTTTGATAATTTGACAGCGCTACAACCAAATATATACATATATACAGACCGTGAGAGTTATTTTAGCTTTAAATAAGAAAAACGATAACTCCGRCTTCACTGACGCTGTAATACCCTCCACAAGCTCAAAATGCTAGAAAACATATTTACCTTAATTTCGGGTATAAGTTGGCATCTTCACTGCCAGCTACTTCTAAAATATAGGAAGTTCCTCAAAACTTCTAAGCCACACGGATTCTGCCCTCATCTCACTTCTAATGCACAACTCACTCATAATAGACGACACTTGTTAATGGAGTTATGTGTGTAGCGCTTGCGACAAATTTCAGCATCTAAGCTTCAACAAGATTTAYCGCATTCTCTAACCGAAGTAATTAAAAGTCCATCACATAGCTCGAATTGACTTTGCTTCCGTGCCAAATTGCAATTTACGAAGAGACTTAATAACGAGGTTGCCAAGGTTGACTGCCTAAAGTCAAATACACACTTCCCTAAACTATTTTGGCTGCGCTGTCTTGGCACCTCAAAAGTGATAAGCTGTTTAGCAGCTAATTAAAATRAAATTCTATATTTTCGGCAAAGCCTTGCCAACAAGACCTCCWTAAATCTCTTAAGCAAATAAGCAGTTACACATACAAACGCAGATGTAAATACACTTGTACATATATGTATGTGAACTAATATCTAAACTTACTCATTSGGGTTTTCATAGGAATTCTATTATYGAATGCATTGCTAAGCAATAGATCGATGGCGCAGAGAGTGGCTTCCTGGCCATAACCGCAAGTAGTAACAAGAGCGAACCTACAAATTACATATGCATGGAAATTTTTACCTCATTTGTTGTTGTTGGATTTTGCTGGGAAATTCTAGATTTTATATTTGACCAACASTCATTCTCTTGGCTGTCACGTGGTTTGTGTTTCCGAACACTTGATTGGCAGGCAATCCTCGTTTTGGTGAAGGACGGCCGCATGTTTGGATTAGTTTCACTTACTTGTATGCCAATATCTGCTTATGTACAATTGCGAGCATTGAAATAGTAGTGGCTATTGACAAAAATAGTTTCGCTTTAAATTTTGTTTCTTTTTTGGTATTGAATTTGATTCTTATTCTAGTTATATTCTCTGTAGTGTAACGGTCCTGTTAAACATAACAATAAGTGTGAAATACTTACCGTTACTTTTTTACAGCTAATTATATTGTGATATCGGTTTTTATCAGCGAGCATTTAAATTGTAGTGAACGGTGAGCTGATTGGACACAGATTATTTTTATTCAAAAATATTTAATGTTACTAATCAGAAAGTGAGTTTCTTGTTATTTTATTTATTATCCAATGAAAAAAGCTAAAAAATATGACTGTGCAGATTTTAGTGGGCCGCGGGAAGCACTGCAGTGAAGAGAAACGAAAATGGATTCAATCTCTCATAAACAGTGGTAAAACATACAAAGAAGTAGAAAGTCTGGTAGGGTGGTCAGCCACAATGATTCGCAAAATTATTTATAAAAAAGAAAAAATGAAAAAAGGGGCGGAAGGCGGATTCTTTCTGAGAATTCTGTACGTAAAGTTGTAAGATCTGTTAAGACTCGGCCTACAATGTCAGCTGTGGAGTTTCGGAACGAACTGAACTTGCCCTGCGGTGTTCATACAGTAAGAAGACTTTTACGGGAATATRATTTATATGCCCGCAGTCCTCGAAAAGTACCGCTACTAAAAAAAAKCATGTAGCTCGACSTCTGAAATTCGCCAAAGACCAATTACCTTGGCCGATTGAGAAGTGTTGCAACATATTGTGGACTGACGAGTCGAAAGTGTTTTTATACGGCGGTAAAGGGTCCCGTCAGTATATAAGACGCCCCCCTAATACAGAGTACGACCCCAGGTTTACCACAAAAACTTTGTAGCATGGCGGTTCGAGTATCATGGTTTGGGGCTGTTTTTCTTATAGAGGCGTAGACACAATTTAAAAAATTACTGACATAATGGACCGATACGCATACGTGAATATATTGCAGAATATTATGATGCCATTTGCTGAAGAGGACATGCCGCTGATTGGGATATTTCAGCAAGATAATGACCCGAAACATACCAGTAGGGTGGTAAAGAAGTGGTTTCGGGTCAATGGAATTGAGGTCATGGATTGGCCAGCTCAATCACACGACCTCAATCCCATTGAAAACCTTTGGGCAGACGTTAAGAAAGCCGCATGGAATGACAAACCCAAAAGCAACAATGAGTTGTGGACCGTAGTGCAGAAAGCATGGCAGAACACACCACTAAAAAGATGCCAGAGTCATGGCCATGCTACCAAGTACTAATATCTCGTATAGACGGAGCTTCCAAAAATCCTTCAGTTAAAAAAAAAAATTATTGCTTTATTACTATTTTACTGCTCCCATCAAATTTCACATATAAACACAAATTTGTGAATAAATATATCTTACACCCATTCAAATTAAAATATTTTTATTAATAAACGTAGCCAGGGAAATATGATAAACTTTTTCATTTCAATTGATGTTAAAGTTGTTTAGAATTTTGCATAACTCACAGGTATGTAAAACTCTAACACCCACTACTATTTCACTGCTCGCAGCYGTATATATGTTCGTAAAAATGTCGGAAAGGAAGAAATTTGCTTGAGTGCTTGAACTGTAGTTTAGTGAAAAAAATTTAATAAATTATTAAACTAACACTGTAAATAATGTAGAAGTTCAATAAAAAATATAGGCGTGTATGTATGAGACAGGAAAAATATAATAAAAAACAAAAAAACATACGCAAGATGGTGATTGGACATCTCTTACTGTAGAAAAGCATTTATTTTGCTAAAAAATATATTTGTTCATACCAAATCCTTGGAAAGGCATAATTGAAGTGTTTAATATACAGTGCATTGCAAAAATAAGTTACTATCCACTGCGTTTATCCGTTTAGTTTTGARAAAAMAATGCCTCAGAACTAGWARTAATATCCWTTTTTTTTAGTTATTTCACATTTCATTTAACATCAATCATAAAGAACAGAAACTTAAAATAATAATTTTTCAACTTAGGAAAAAAAAAGTTTAAATAGCTAAAAATTATATCACTAAAGCATGTAAGCAATAATAATACATTAAAAAAAAGTTCCAATGGTTTTGTTTTTGAGCTTTGATGGACCGTTAACATTTTATTGGATATTCTTTGCAATTTTATACCCTGAACAAGGTATAATACCCAGAATTAAGCACCGGAGACCCTATAAAGTATATATATAAATGATCAGTATGCTGAGCTGAGTCGATTTAGCCATGTCCGTCTGTCTGTCTGTCCGTCCGTGCGTCCGTCCGTCTGAAGTCCCTCAGTTTTTAAGATATCATTTTGAAATTTTGCAAACGCCATTTTCTCTTCAAGAAGCTGCTCATTTGTCGGAACTGCCGATATCGGACTACTATAACATATAGCTGTCATATAAACTGAACGATCGGAATCAAGTTCTTGTATGAAAAACTTTCACATTTGACAATGTACCTTTACAAAAGTTGGTACAGACTATTTTCTAAAGCAACTATGTAATATCGGAAGAAATTGTTCAAATCGGCTTACTATAGCATATAGCTGCCTTACAAACCGAACTATCGGCATCAAGGGCTTGTATGAAAAACTTTTGCATTTGAGGTAGTATCTTCACGAAATTTGACATAGATTACTGCTTAAAGTAATAATATAATCTCCGAAAAAATTGTTCAGATCGGATTACTATAGTATATAGTTCCCATAAAAACTGAACATATAATTATTAAAAGAAATGCATCTGTGAAGGGTATATTAGCTGCGGTGCAACCGAAGTTAACGCTTTTTTCTTGTTTTTATTTTTTGTTTTGGGTCACTGACGAAAGAATCTTGCCCCATTCATCGATTAAAGATTCTTTGTTCGCTATTTGGTGGCTTCTGTGATTTTTCTCTCTAAATAATCCCACAAATGTTCGATAGAGTTCATATCTGCAGATTGGGCTGGTATTTTAATAAATTGGGTATCTTGTAAAGTAGCAGTTCCGAAACAATGTGAGCGGTGTGTTTTGTATCATTGTAGTGTTGGAAGACAAAGGATCCTTCAAGTCACGTTGTGGCAGCACTTTCGTTTCAATTTGGTATTAATACTCGTACATTAAGGTAATAATATTTGTTAATTGTCTGCTCAATGAATACAAGATTCCCTGCACCAGTTGCTGCCATACATCCTCATACCATGAGCGACCCACAACTATGTTTTATCGTGGCAGCCACAGTACATGGATTAAGCTCTGTATTTACTTTTGCCCATACTTTTTCATTTTCCGTCTGAGCCAAAAATATTATACTTACTTTCATCTAAGAAAATAAGAGAATTTTAGAAACTTTTTCTATGTTTACTATCGTGCTTTTTGCGGACATTACGATCATGGTAACCAACATAATACAGCACGCGACGAATAGTTTGGAGATCGCAGCTTTTACCAGTCTCATTTTGAATTTCAGTGCGTTTTTTGAGTTTTGTTTTTTTTTTTTTTGTTTTTTTTTCTTGTTTTTTTTCTGTCGTTACGTTTGATTTTATTATCTTTTCCTTTCCGTTCCGTTTTCTTTCCAGTCCTACCCTTTCCTTTCCTGTCCTTTCCTGTCCTTTCCTGTCTTTTCCTTTTCGTTCCTCGTTCCTATTCACTCTTTTCCTTTCCATCCCCTTGTAACACTGAATATTAGATAATTAGATTTCACTAATGGATTATAAGTGCACTGAACTTTATTATTTTATCTATCTCATTCAAGAAATAACTTCTCTAGCTTCTTCGAACTTTTCTCATTCCACTTAATCAGCCGAAAATTAGTGCCAACTTTCAGTGAATTGTAGTGTAAGGACATTCATTCATACAATTCGCTAATGGGTCTAACACACACACAGACATGACAACACACATACATACATATGTGTACATAAGTAAATTCCCCTTAGAACTGCCAGGAAATGTAAACTTATAAGCAATTTCCTTCTGCCCTCAATCAGTTCCGCTTGTTAGCGTAAGGCATTGCAGTACAAACTATTTTCCAAAGACATGTGCCTCACATACACAAATAAATACATATGTACATATCTACATTTATAACGCTGAGCACATACAGTTGCCGACGCAACCAGTCATTACAAATACACACACCTCGGTAATCCGCTCGCATTCGCCCTGTCACACATTTGCTGCTTCGCTTGTTTGTTTGCTGACATTGAGCTGTTGCTTCGCAGTGATCCGCTGACGAAGCTGTTTCCTTGTTTTGCCTCTTCGCTCTCTCTCGACTATTCTTCTACCGAATCAACAGCGCTTGCTGGCAGCAATGTGCGTCGTCTGGTGTGCATATATGTGTGAGTGTGTGTGTTTACGCAGTTTATTTTCTAAGTTCGACATTGTTGACATTTGCTATTTTGTCGTTGTTTTTTTGTGTGTGCGTTTACATTCGCTACGTACGTACTCCTTCGTTGGATTATTTGTCTATGTTTTGGTTTGGCTTGCAAAGACCGTCTTTCCTGTTTAATCATTCAATTGTTATAGCGCACAAATTCACGCGTGCGTGCGTGTGGGTGTTATTTTCTCTGTGTGTACATAAGGATGTGTAATGTGCTTCAGCGAATGTCAGCAGCATCTAAGCCTATATAAATGAGAGTGTTTTTGTGACAGTCGCTGTAAAGGTCAATAGGTCAATCCAATTAGGCAAAGGAAATTTATTGAAGTGTCAATTTTGATTTGTCAAGTGAGTAGATTAAGGATAATTGCTGTGTGCTGGGGATATTATTTTTGTTTTTGGCAAATGCCTTCGGTTGTTAGCCTGGTTAATATGAGCTTTAAGGGGCACACCTAGTATACGGTTATAAAAAAATCCTATACTTCTGCCTTCTCCGAGGATGAAACTTAAAAACCAAAATTCTCTCTTGAAGATATTGTTTTAAGGAAGTATTCTAGCCTAGGAAAAATACATTTTTTTTATCTTCAAAGTCAAACTATAGAAGACTATGTCTACAAAAGGTTTATTTTACTTATCCATACGGGCTCGGGCGTAACTGAAACATTGAATTCCTTTCTCTCCGTGATATCCATGATTAATCAGGTTCTACTGGAGCGAGTTACTATTTTATGATAATCTTCTTTATAGACACGACACTTAAAAATTTACTTGAAATTTACTCCCCTAGATTAGACCTTTAAAGATATAATCTGCGTAAACCTTCCTTAAAATAACACAATTTGGAGCATGTGTTATCTTCCACTTTAGCTTTAGTAAGTGTTGCTAGTCAAACCCCTATCTCAGCCTTTAACTAATTTACATGATTTATGGAGCTCCAACGCGAAAATTGGGTTATAAAACATTCAATACCAATGTCTAAAATTGCTCTCTGAGAAAATTTGTCGACCAAGTTGCTATACAACTTTTGTGTTACTGAGGATCTCCTTTTTACATGTGAAATCATTTCAGAAATCTTTTCGTTTGTTTTTCTTTCTCAGAAAACTTTATTGGATCATCGAAACATACCATGTCGTTCCGATAACAAAACCTTTGTTTTCGGTTTTGAGTGGATACTAATATGTTAGATTGCCGTGAATCGCCACAGAACAACAATACCTTTAAAACATAGTACTTTTTATGAAGACCCTTTATAACTCTATTTCTTCTACCACTTAAGTTATGAGACGAATTATAATATCTACTTTGCTTTCAGGTTGGATGCACGCTTTGTCTGAGCGCTTAAAGATACCCATCACAAATATCACTAACGCTGAGGCCTATTCGACAGCGCTGTATTTCACCTTTACCAGCCTAACATCGGTGGGGTTCGGCAATGTATCCGCGAATACGACGGCGGAGAAAGTCTTCTCCATTATCATGATGCTAATTGGAGGTAAGAAAGCGTGAAAACCTTGACACATTTTTACAATTCATAAATGCATATACATATGTACTTATACTGCGTATTTTCATGTGGATTTGAAAAGTAATTAACCGGGATTTCCTTAAAAATTTTAAATTATTGTTTTTCATTCCCTTTTAATCCATTCTTGCGTTACGCTTATTCTGCCGCCTTTTCGCGCCCACCTGTCAGCATTAATGCACGCCGTCGTGTTCGGTAATGTGACGGCGATAATCCAGCGCATGTATTCCCGGCGTTCATTGTACGAGAGCAAATGGCGTGACTTAAAGGATTTTATAGCGCTGCATCAGGTGAGTTCGTCTGCGTGATTTCCATTTCAAATACTGTGTGTGTGCTATTTGTTTGAAAGTGTGTGTGTTCATGAAATTTTTTCCTAAAAAATATGAAACAAATATATACAAGCGCATATATTTTTGCATACATTCCTATGTTACGTGTGTAGTTATATGGTAATAAGTGTGCCTGCATAAAGGAATTGTTAAGTCTTTCCAGGAGTAAATTCAGCTGTTACCTTTGTTTTCGCTGAAAAACGTTTTGTAAAGTCTTGGAGATGAAAAGTTTTCAGTTGTCTTATTAAGAACACATTCATACATAATAACAGCGTTTTAGTTCCGTTAAAAATTATTTAACAATATATGTTCTCCAGCACGCTTCGCTGCGCAGAACAGAGAATTACCTATGTTTTTCGTTAAACATTAATTTCTTGAAGAACAGGTGAGATAAAAAGAAATTTTTTCAATATTACAGTCATAACTACCATTGGTTTCAAGATGGTAAATTTTTAATGGAAATGTCTACATATTTTCAAAACCCCCATTGCCGTAAGGCAAAGCTGATTTATGCCATATTTAAAGTTAAAATGCTATGTTTAAATAAACTCTGCACAAAATATTTTTCTTATTGGTATATTTTAGTCCTTATGTGTGGGTTATGTCAAATTCACTGACAGTCGTAGTGAGAAAAGGACAACATTCTCCATGCGAAATAGCATCTTTCCGACATGTTAATCAGTTTTTCTCATTTGAAGAACATATTTCGATTCAGTGGTAAGATATGTCATCAAAATTGTATTGTTGTCAAAGAAGCTTCAGTGAGTTTGACAAAACTAGAACATATTACAAATGACGTTTGTGATATGCCACAACTCGATTATTCGTTATTACTCATACCCTGAAAAGTCGGAGAACATATGAAATATATATGGTCATATATTTCGAGGTTCCCTATTAAAAGAAAAAAAAAAAAACATGAACTTCAAATTGAAAGGAAGGTGTTTATCATCATTTAAAAGAAAATTCTTTTTAAATTATTGTTTTTCAAATATTGGTCCAAGCTAAGTCTCAGATGGTCCATCCGTTGAGTTCAATTTTCAATGGCTCGTTGAAAAATTTCGCTTGGTAACTACCGGGTACGGGTGATTTTTTGTTCCAAGGCCGGAATCGAAGAGGTATTGTCTCAATAGATTTAGACGTTGCACATCCCCTCAGGAATGATTCTGCATTCAGGATGGTGTGACATCACATGATCATGGTTGTCAATCGACCAGCCCAAGACGTGAAATTAWCWGCTCACYGAAGTGTTATCTMAATWAAWMCATTGATTGATGCGATGTGTGAAAAGTGGYCCCGTCTAGTTGAAGCCAAATCACGAGCTTCAATTTCAGATTACAAATAGTTGGTTATCATGGCGCGATAACTGTCACCTTTGACGGGTACGTTCTCACGAAGAAATAAGAACCGAAGATTCCAACAGCAAACGTTATTTTTTCTGTATAAAATGAATGTCTGCCGTTCAACCCAAATGTGACAGTTCTGCTTGTTTTYATACCCATTGAGTCAGAAGTGGACCTCACGGGTGACCAAATTTCGGCTCCAAAATATCTGATCTTCTTGGAACTTTTCAAGAGCCCGTGGAGCGAAACTGTATTTTGTACGCTTTCAATTTAAGAACACATTCTTTGGAAAACGTGAGTTYTCATAATAAAGTTGAACGATCAGTAAACGTTGTTCAAACATAAACCTTTTCATGATTATATGCCAAACAATACTGACCAAAAATATCATGAGAGCTTGACACAAATAACGCGTGTTCTGTCAAAGTAAGGCTATTGAAGAAAGTAGTCCTACTAGGATCGCCTCTTATACATACTTGTATAACATAAGAAATTAGTTTCTCAGGCTTTGAGATATAATTCTTTTTATACSCTTTTGCGCTATAASAAATTCACCTGTGAARGATAGCATTACTGCWTTGATGCAGCCGGCCGAAGGTAATTTTWTTTTATTTTTTAGTGATTTTGAATGAATACGAGCGAATATTTGTGATCAGATTTGTTATTACATTTCATAATATATTCGTGGAATAGCTAGAATATTACTCCAGTGTGCTCTCTGAATATGTCATAAGGTTTTCATGTAAATTTCGATCAATTTCGTCAACTAGCTTGTAACTCGCTCTATTGCATACAATTAGGAAAAATGTTGCACTTGTACAGATTTCAAAAATTAGCTGTATTCTGTAATTGTGCAGAATTTGCTAACAGGATTTATAAAAACTTTCAATATTTATTTAACTTCAAATACATTTCACCAAATTGATAATGCTTCAATATTCCATTCATACATTTGCTAGAATTATTTACAAAAATACGTATTTACAAAAATATTTAGCAGGTTAAAACTTATGCCAGTGACAGCAAATTTCGAGCAAAGTACCGTTGAAATTTGGAAATAAATATGGCTGCTGCGATAATATTTGCATTTCTAGCAGTTCGTAAACTCAGCGAACAATTTGCCATGCGACAGTTTAAAAACGGAATAACGGTAAATGGCACGAAATGCAGTTTTGCATACGTGACAGTTCAGCTGTTGTTGTTATTGTTGTAAATGCCACTGTAGGCGTAGTTATGTTTATCATTGTACGCATTTAATACTGCCGTGTCTGTGGTCGACGCCAATAATTACAGCGGCTTGGCAAAAACACGTGAACTCTTAATGATGGCAGCGCGTGTTGAATATGCTATAGATTATTACATTAGGTAGGGGCTTTTGCTAAAACAATTGTAAATATAACTAAAAAATAAAAAAAAAAGTTTTCTTGTTCAAATAAACGCTTACTCAGGTGGTGGATTCATGCAAGTGGGGAAAGTTCTCTGAGCRTCATTCATTTGGAAGTGGCCAGACACGATTCWTTTACCTATAGCTCGAGCAGCTTATGACTTCCAGTCTTAGACTGARTATTCTCTGGGTAGCCAAAAAACATCCGTTTAAAGGCGAGRTAAAGTGAGAAGTTTGAGGGTTTGTTACCCGCCACGTAGAAAACCATTAATGAAAAGATGAAAACAGCCTCGGATGACAGGCCCCTCTTTTTGATGATGACCACTGTAAACGTGTAAAGGGTATGTACGGTCCCTTAATTGCGAAGGTGCCACTGCCCAGCTGGTTGATGGCCTCGTGAGGGTAAAGGCTGACATCACCGCCATCCATGGGACAAGAACTGGATCGAGTAGGTTCTTGTGACATTTACTATAGTAGCCATATAAAGGAGTG